AACTGTCGACCCTGCTGACTTACATGGGGCTGTGGTTTATCGTAACGCTTCCTGGAAGGCCGAGATCGGGCAGTGGCTTTGTAGTTGTGATGCAGTTGCCATGGAAGTTGACATCATTGAAGTAAGGATCCTGATATCTGGTTGTCTCTTTCCGAGGAAGTTGCTTGTTTTGTTCCTGGACACGGACACTGGTATGTTGAGATGTCTGTTTAAACTATGTTACGATCTTTGTGTCTCGGCAGCCAATTGGTGGGCGGAAATGCATGAATGGCTGCAGCAGCCAAGGTGTTTGTAACCATGAAATAGGAATATGCCGGTGTTTTCATGGATTTAGTGGTTAGTATTTCCTTCCTGCTTCTCAATTTCCTTATTCAACTCGACGAAGAAGTGAGAAAAATGCTTCTTGTATAGGTGAGGATTGCTCGCAAAGATTGCACCTAGACTGCAATTACGAGAAAACGCCTGAGTTGCCATATGGGAGATGGGTTGTCTCGATGTGTGCAACACATTGTGATACCACAAGAGCAATGTGCTTTTGTGGAGAAGGCACAAAATATCCGAATCGTCCTGTTCCCGAGGCATGTGGATTTCAAGTGAAGTAAGTTAATTAAGCCCATCATTTCCATGAAGGATGGCCAGATTGGTTATAAATTCATATCAAGTCTGTTTATTTATTTATTTATATACATTCCTTCTCCTCATACTTTAACAACTCTCTAACGCGATATTCATTCAGCTCACCGAAGGAGCCCGGGGGACCCAAAATGACCGATTGGACGAAACCAGACCTAGATATTCTCACAACTAACAGCAGTCAACATGGATGGTGCAATGTGGACCCAGAAGACGGGTATGCTTCCAAGGTTCAGTTCAAAGAGGAATGTGACTGCAAATATGATTGCCTCTGGGGTCGTTTCTGTGAAGTGCCTGTACAGTGCACCTGTGTTAACCAGTGCTCGGGTCACGGCCACTGCCGTGGTGGATTCTGTCAGGTAAAATACTGTATCTATAGAGGAAAGCAACAACAGTAGTCAAATTTTTGTGTATTCTTTATATTAATCTTTCTAATTTTTAGTGTTTTCCCCCCTTTCCAGTGCGAGAAAGGCTGGTTTGGCACAGATTGTAGTATCCCGTCTGTTCTCTCGACGGTTGGAGAGTGGCCCCAGTGGCTCCGACCTGCACGGCTTGAAGTTCCAAGTGGTACACCTGTCCCTGGGAATCTCTCTAATCTTAGTGCCGCGGTGAAAAAGAAGAGGCCTCTTATATACGTTTATGATCTTCCACCGGACTTCAACAGTTTGCTTCTTGAGGTTAGAATTACGACGTTTTGTAATCTCATTCAGGAACTTTTTGTGAGAATTTTTTTTAATGTTTTCTGCTTGAATCAATGGTTTAGGGTCGGCATTATAAGCTCCAGTGTGTTAACAGAATCTACGATGACAGGAATGCAACTATATGGACGGACTATCTATATGGTTCACAGGTATTATCTTAACCGAAGACAGAGTACACATAACATAAAGAAGAAATCTCCTGAATTGGAAGATAATTCCGTCTCTCCTTACCTTTTTCTTCCAGATGGCGTTCTATGAGAATGTTTTGGCCACCTCCCACCGCACGTTGAATGGCGAAGAGGCAGATTTTTTCTTTGTTCCTGTTCTTGATTCGTGTATTATAACTCTTGCTGATGAGGCGCCTCACCTTAGCATGCAGGTATATATCCTTTGTTTCGGTTGAGAAACCTGTCCTTCTGATTCATTGTTAATCAACTTCCTTTCTGACGGAACCTCAATGTTTCATCTGTTTCAGGACTATAGCAGATTGAGAAGCTCGCTTACCTTGGAGTTCTACAAAAGGGCTTATGATCACATCGTTGAGAAATATCCTTACTGGAACCGCTCATCCGGGAGAGATCATATCTGGGTAAGATGCATAAGTATCAATCTTGTTCCTCAGTTCAAAAATGGGCCATCAGTACTAATGATGTGACACTTATGCCCGCCCGAAAGGCAGTTTTTTTCGTGGGATGAAGGTGCATGCTATGCTCCGAAAGAGATATGGAACAGCATGATGCTAGTTCACTGGGGCAACACGAACTCGAAGCACAACCACTCGACAACAGCCTACTGGGCCGATAACTGGGACACCATTTCTCCCGATAGAAGAGGCAATCATCCGTGCTTTGACCCTGCCAAAGATCTCGTGATTCCTGCCTGGAAGGTTCCCGATCCTTTTTCGATGCGTGCCAACTACTGGGCTCGGTATCTTCCCATATGTCCAGCTGATCTGTTCCATTTTTGTGTTCTTCACTGCTTGCCTAAGCTTTACAGATTGATGTTTTAGTTTTATAGCTGCAAAACCCTAACGGGAATCTTGAAGTATTGGCCTTTCCATCTTTCATTGCATCAGATCCTGGGAGGAGCGCAGAACATTGTTTTACTTCAATGGGAATCTCGGACCCGCTTACGAGCATGGAAGGCCAGAAGATTCGTAAGTCTCTCACCAAAAGAAACATTGTCATTCTGAATCGTAAAATCATGTGAATGCAGAAACCATTGATCTCATGCCTTTGGTAAATACCTGCGCTCGTGGATGGGGAAGGTATATATAATGGTTACGGTTAAAACATCTATGCAGGTATAGCATGGGAATCAGACAAAAGCTGGCAGAAGAGTTTGGTTCGATCCCGAACAAGGACGGCAAGCTCGGGAAACAGCATGCAGATGACGTGATTGTCACTCCATTACGTTCGAGCAATTACCACAACGACTTGGCCACTTCCATCTTCTGTGGTGTGTTCCCTGGTGATGGATGGAGTGGTCGGATGGAAGACAGCATCTTGCAGGGTTGTGTCCCTGTTATCATTCAGGTATATCTATTTATCTACCCCGACAATATAAGAACAGAGAATCTCTTACTTGCAACTTTTACCTATTTTTCTTGTTTTGGCCATTTGTTGATGTTTCATGTAGGACGGAATCTACCTCCCGTACGAGAATTTACTCAACTATGACAGCTTTGCAGTTCGTGTGGACGAAGATGACATCCCGAAGCTTATCAAGATTCTCCGAGTAGTTACCCCGTTTCTCTGTTGACCAGTTTCTCAGCGTTTACTCCTAAACCTCGGGTTGAATAATTTAGGTATTATTACCCTTGAAAATTTCTGCAGGGATTCAACGAAACGGAGATACAGTTCAAGCTAGCTAATGTAAAGAAGGTCTGGCAAAGGTTCTTATATCGAGAATCCATCATGCTCGAAGCCGAGAGACAGAAAGCTGCTTTGGGCCACGAGGACGAGTGGGCGGTTCAGTATTCCCGGCTTAAGGAAGACGACATCTTTGCCACAGTCATACAGGTAATCTACTGCTCCTCTTCTGTAACCATCTATCTCTTCATAAAACTCATAACCTAGATCATCTTTAACGAGCTCTAATTCTCAATTCAAGATTCTACACTACAAGCTACACAACGATCCATGGAGAGAACAACTCACGAATCCGAGGAAAGACTACGGATTGCCTCGAGAATGTCTGGTAAGAACCAGCTGATTGTGTCGTCCTCTCAACCTCAAGATCAAAGTTCAAGTAAATACATCAAAGAGCTACACAAGCATGTATACTTACACAGGTCGGATACGTACTGCTAGGCGTACAAATACACGCATACGCATATACATACACACACACTGCACAAATGTATTGTTTTGTTTCTGTCCGTGCTTCGTTTTCCTCGTGGTATTTTATCTTTCATTAGATGGCATATTCATCTGCATTCTTGGGGATAGAGAGGGTCATTCTTGTTTACAGAAAAGTTGGAAGCTTTAGGTTGTTGAATCGGTTCTTTCCACTTGCTTGTTCGGCTCTGTAATTGTACCATCCCTTTTCCGGTTTAGCTTGGTTTAATCAAACCGGACGCTATAAAACGCCAATGGGTTTCACCCCTGTATCCCACAATCCTGGTCCAAGATTTTCCCCGGTGGAAGAATTGTTTCATGGAATACAAATTGAAGGGAAAAAAAAAATCTAACTAAATCTTTTGGGGAATTAATAAACATAAATCAATAAATTCTTATGGGAATAATGAAATAAATTCCATCAGCATCTTATTCTTACGTATACCAAATTGTAATATAAATAAATTCAGATGGATTTTCTACAAAACTAAAAACAGTTTGCTGACAGATGATTGAAAAAACACAGTTCATATCAGTGCGTATTGACTTTTTTTTTTTAATTATATATAACAAAGAAAAAAAAAGCAAACCCTAAAGAGTAAAACCTTTGTCTTCGTCTTCTGTTGTATCCGACAATGTCTCTCTCTCCTCTCTCCCTCGACTCCAACCCTATTCGGACATCTAGCTTCGCTGGCTATGGTATCGATGGCTGCCATCTCCGCCGTCCTCCGTTCAGCCACCACCGCCCGAGCTTCGTCGTCTGCTCCGCTTCCAAGCGGATGGTTCCTTCTGCGTCGTTGAGCGTCGCCGCTGCGGACTCCGCCGCCGCCGATTCGCTCCGGCGAATCGAATCGCTGAGTCAAGTCTCCGGCGTGTTGGGTTGCCAGTGGGGCGATGAGGGTAAAGGCAAGCTCGTTGATATCTTGGCCGAGCATTTCGATGTCGTTGCTCGCTGTCAGGTACTTATTTGCTCGAACTTCGTATTAGTTCGATCCTTTCTCACCCGTGCATTTGAATCGGATTCTTCGATTGTCTAAATTTTTGTATGTGTGTGTGATTTTGTGAATTTGTTTGTTCTTTTCTCGTGATCAAACTGAGGTCGGGAATTTGTGAATCGAATTTTTTTTATCAACGCAGATGCGTAAACTGCAGTTTACAGAGTTATATATTTCAGTTCATGACAAATCCTGTTATCTTCGGACATAGCATAAAAAAGGGTGGGAGTCTTTCAGCTTGTGTTGAAGAATATCACTATCCTGAATTTGGTATTGTCTTTGCTCTGTTTCTCTGTGGGTTTCGTGAGGGTTCCAGACTTGGGAAGATTTTTGTATGCTTTAAATTTACTTCAAAATCATTATGCCAAACTCTTTTTTTTTTTTTTTTAAAGTTCCATTTTGTTACCACAGGGTGGAGCCAATGCTGGACACACTATATATAATGCGGAGGGGAAGAAATTCGCTCTTCATCTTGTGCCTTCAGGGATCTTGAATGAGGATACCACTTGCGTGATTGGAAATGGAGTTGTGGTTCATTTGCCGGGTCTCTTTAAGGAGATTGATGGGTTGGAATCCAATGGAGTGTCCTGTGAAGGAAGGATTTTGGTCTCAGATCGTGCTCATTTGCTATTCGATTTCCATCAAGTGGTTGATGGACTTAGGGAATCTGAGCTTGCTAAGTCATTCATCGGTACAACCAAGAGAGGAATCGGTCCTTGCTACTCTAGCAAGGTGATAAGGAATGGCATCAGAGTTGGTGATCTTAGGCATATGGACACATTCCCACAAAAGCTTGATCTTTTATTGTCAGATGCAGCCTCGAGATTTCCCGGGTTCAAGTATACACCGGAGATGCTCCGGGAAGAAGTTGAAGCATACAAAAGATATGCTGAGAGATTGGAGCCCTTCATAACCGACACTGTCCATTTCATGAATGACTCGATTTCTCAAAAGAAAAAGATTTTGGTTGAAGGTGGCCAAGCCACAATGCTGGATATTGACTTTGGTACATATCCTTTCGTTACTTCTTCGAGCCCTTCAGCCGGTGGGATCTGTACTGGTCTCGGTATCGCTCCAAGAGTTGTCGGTGACCTTATTGGAGTGGTAAATGCATCTTCTTTCATGAACTCGTGTTGAATAGAACATGTGCATATTCTTAGTTTAACATTGCTACTTATATCTTTTCTGCTGTATGAAACCAACTGTGTATATTTTTCTCAAATCTTATATGTAGGTTTTGTAGCTTTATAGCAGCATTTATGCTAAAAAATTTCAACTGTCACCTTTTAACCAAATTTGGTAAACGATGAACAAAATAGGCAAGAAAGAATGATGATGATTCGGTATTGACTTGATCTATTGGCAGGTAAAAGCATACACCACAAGAGTTGGTTCAGGCCCGTTCCCAACAGAAATTTTAGGGCAAGGCGGTGACCTCCTTCGATTTGCGGGACAGGAGTTTGGCACGACAACAGGCCGTCCTCGTCGGTGTGGCTGGCTTGACATTGTTGCGTTGAGATATTGCTGCCAAATTAACGGGTTTGCTTCTCTTAATCTCACCAAGCTTGATGTGCTCTCTGATCTTTCGGAAATTCAGCTGGGTGTTGCGTATAAGCGGAGTGACGGAACACCTATTGAATCTTTCCCTGGAGATCTCCGTCTTCTTGAGGAGTTGCAAGTAAGTGTAATTTTTAGTACATATGATAGATATCATATTGAAAAATCTTCAATTATTGCCTGGGAAGTGATACTTCTTCCTTCTTGTGAGTGTTTTAAGTGACTTGTTTGCTTGTGCCGATGTTTTCAGGTGGAATATGAAGTCTTACCTGGATGGAAATCCGACATTTCTTCTGTCAGAAATTACTCGGTTCTTCCAAAGGCGGCACAACAGTATGTTGAGAGGATTGAAGAACTCGTGGGTGTTCCCGTTCATTACATTGGTGTTGGTCCTGGTCGTGATGCCCTCATATTTAAATGATTTTTTGGAGTTAGGTTTTTTGGCTCCTCGGCTGAACTCCAAATTTGACGAATTGAAAATTTCTTTACCAACCCATAATTAAGTACTTTCATATGTTGCATTGTTTTCATCATATTGAAATGAGCAGGAAGTCTGAGCTTAAAGCTATTTGCTTTGGAGTTTAATCTTCCTTCAGAGAAAGATGAAGAATCTTTTATGGTTTATAGGCGAGGTATATGATGAAGCTTTTGTTGAAGCTTCTTTAAATAGGTCTACTGAAGATTTATAGATATGGTTTGAATCCGGTCATAAAGGTATTGAAAAACACAGATAGACGGCTTGCCCCGTCTAGGGTCACGGGTATAATGCCTAAAGCCTCCCCTCAGATTCTTCTTTAGCAAAATTTCTTCACTTTTTGGATATTTTTGGTAGGCGAAACTTTCTAAAAGATGTCATTACATCATGTGAAGTGTCTCTATGTCTCTCCGTTTTGTTGTTTTCTTTTTCTTTTTCACAGAGCTTCGAGCAGGTCAAAATCTACAACTGATAAGAGAGTCAGAGACATGAGGCAGATCTTGGACTATAGAGGTAAAATGCTCTGCCCTTGTGCTTATAATCTATCACAGTATCGATATATCTGATTTGATTCATGAAATAGGGATTTCGTAGGCAAGATTTTCCCGGGTTACTTGCCAAAGACGTGCTTCAATTTCTATCTCCTGAGCCAGAAGGAATGGAAACCGTGGACACGTCTAATATCTCAAAGACCCAAACAGCTTATTATCATCCAAAAAGTACACTGATACACTCATTTGCTGGCCTTATGGACTGCACTAGTGCCATATCTTCTCTATCTAGGTATATCTATTATGTTAATATATGAAGAAACACTAGACTGAAAACTAAAGTCTGATCTTACTTCTGAGAGTTGGGTTTTCTATCAGTAGCTCTCACTCAATCTAAGCTCTCACAGAAGTTCCAGATGGAAGAAGGGAATATCGAATCATCATCATCAAGGTCGTAGGTCTGTAAGTTACTGCCATGGAACTGCTGCGTTGTAGAAGCTCCTGTCAACGTGTCCCAGTTGAAAATCTGATCCTCGAAAGAGCTCTCGGGTTCTTGATCTTGATATTTCCCGGATGTTGCCGAGTGACATTCAAGAACGTCACTTGCTTCGTCTTGGTTATCTTGCTTCAAGATTCCGAGTTGCTGAAGAAACTCGGTGAGGTCAATCTCCGGTTTCTTCTTCTTCTGGTCATCCATATCTGTCGAAACCTCTATGCTCTTGTCTTGCTCCGCTTTTTGCCGAGGTTCATCTTCTCTGGTCTTGCCATCAACGACAAGGCAAGTGTTATTATTATTATTATTATTATTAGTTTTTGAAGAATTGTTCCGAGATAGAAGTCCGGTCTTCTTGAGCTCCTCCAGTCTCTGATGAATGGCATGAACGCTTGGCTGAGCATTCACGTTGAGCAAACTGCAAGAGGGAAAGA